AGGCTGGCTCACTGCAGTCTAGCTTCAACACAATCTTCTTTGTAGTTTTATTCTTTTCCAAAAACGAGCTTAGCCTGTCCACCGCAGCCACTCTAATTCCTATCATAACGCAGCCTCCCCTGGGCACAGAGAATCCTTGCCCTTTTGTACTGTGTCACTTTGGGAGACTGGTGCTTGCCACACTAAAAGTCTGGTAGGTTTTAGGGTTGTTCACCTGTTTGCAGGAGCACATCAGCATTAAATGCAATGGTCAGTACTTTATGAAACACAAAAATGCAAATGTTGTGTACTTAATAATACAGAACTTTTGAGATACATGAAGCAAAAATAAAGACAACTCCAAAGAGAAATAAACCAACATTTATTGTTGGAGATTTCAATACCCCTTTCTCAAGAATAAGTCAATAATGATATAGAAGATTTTAACACTGTATCGACCAATTTGACCTGACATTTATATAAACCTTCATCCAATGGACTACACTCCTTTCAAGTGTATATTGAACATGTACAAGATAAAACATGAATGCCCTATAAAAGAAGTTTCAATACATTGAAGAGAACTAAAATCATACAAAATATGTTTTCGAACCATGATATTAAACTGGAACTCAATGACAGAAAACCATCTGGAAAAATTGCCAAATAGTTGGAAATGTATGGATCAAAGAAAAAACTGCCATAAAAATTAGAAATTTTATGAAATAAATTCAAATAAAAACACAGCAAAATTTGAAGGATGGGGGCCCAGCAAGCGGGCATGGTGCTGAACTCCCACATGGCCGACTATGGTTTAACACTCAGACCTGGCAGTTTGAAAATTATGCTAGGGTGTGTGCGTAGGTGCCCAAGATCCCAGGACAGTGGAGGAGAAGACTGCGGCATGGCCATTCCCTCTAGGGGATGATTTCTCACTTACCCTCTCTCTGTATGTCTCTGTCTATCTCTCCTGGCAAAGACACTTGCTCTATGGCCCAAAAAAAAGAATGCAACTGAAGTAGTATTTAGAAGAATGTATAGAATTAAACGTTTACATTGGGTCATAAAACTATAACAAAATTCAAGCACTGTTTCAGGAGAGGAATACAAAAGAATGGACTAAATCAGTAATGCCTAAAATATGAGCCAAAGATCAAAACTATCATATTTGTGGTTTTCTTTCTTTTAAGAATTATTTTTACTAATTATTATTATTTTAATTTGCTATCGGGCACATGCATTCACCAGAGACAGAGAGAGCAAAAGTGAAAGTGAGAGCAAGAAAGTAGGCTGCCAGGTCCAGGACCATGTGGGAATCCAGCACCTTAACCATCAGATTCCCACATGGCCAACTGCGGCTCAAGTCCCAGACACGGTGGTTTGAAAACCATGCAGGGTATATGTGCATGCATGCATGATCAAAATCCCAAAAGAATAGAGAAGGGATTGCACTGTGGCCATCCCTCCCACCCCTCGGGGGAGTAATTTCTCACTTTCCCTCTATGTCTCTCTCCAGTGAATATCTTATGAAAAAAAACTTTGAAAAAGAAGAAGAAGGTAATTTCCTATAGGGCTTATTTGGCAAAACAGAGGGAAAAAAGTTACTAGAGAAAGCAAAAGATATCTTGGAAACAAATCAATTCCCTTAAGAACATGAACTACAAATTAAATATCACTAGAAGATTTAAGACACTAAGTCCAAGAATTCCAAGGTTCTAATATATATCCTTACTTTTTTTTTTAAAAGAATTATTTTACTTTTTTGTTTGACCAGAGAGGGACAGCATGAGAGAGAAAGTGAGAAAGCAAGGTGCCAGGTCCTGGACTTGAACCATGGTCGACCATGTGTGATTCAGTGCCCTTAACCACCATTCCATCTGCCAGCCCCACTTTTTCTTCCTTTTTTCTTGAGAGGTTTTTGCTATAGGGTGTGTGCACTCACCAGAGATACACACAGAGACACAAAGCAAGAAAGCACCCCCCCAGGATGGATGGCCTCACCACAATCCTTTCTTCTTCATTCTCTCCTTGGGATTTTGGGGACACACACACACACACACACACACACACACACAAAAGCATATTTTAAGTTGCCGAGTCTAGGATCTGAACCACAGTTGAGTACATGGGAATCTAGTGACATAACCATTATGCCATCTACTGGTTCCTATCCTTACCTTTTTTTTTTGGAGAGGTTGTTATAGGGCGCTTGTGCTTGCCAGAAAGACAGAGAGACAGAAAGTGAGAAATCACCCCCCAGGGGGGATGGCACACCGCAATCCCTTCTCTTCCCATTTTCCTCTCAGGATCTTGGGCACGAATGCACACGCACCAGGAGTGAGTTTAAGCCACCGGGTCCGGGACTCGAACTATGGCCAACTACATGAGAGTCCAGCGACATACCCATTATGCCAGCTGCTGGACCTGCTATCCTTACTTTTTTTTACATGAGCATTCTGATACTGCTGTGTGATCTTACGATGGCTGATACCAAAATACCCCATTTACGTTGAAAAGACACAGCAAAAAGCAAAGTGGGAGGAGGAAGGGCCAACACCTCTAGAAAATAAGCATATCCGTAGACAGAGTCACCTAATTCTGACTATAGAACAATCCTGATATGTACTACGTAACATCCAGAAATGCTGTATTTATCAGGCACATTTTTAAGACATGAAGAGAAACTCCTGTGAGCCAGAAACCAACTGGAAACTAAAAATCAGAGCGGATAAACAGGCTTTAGATATGCTTTGGAGGTGGTGAGTTGGGAGGAATGTAAGCAAAGGGCTAGCATGTTCACTGCCATATTTGGGACACAAGGAAACGTTCCTCGCCTTTAAACAGCAAAGCACTAGAGCTAACCTTTGCCTGAAATGTAGAAAAGACTACACTCTTAAAGTCACCTAGGAGGAAAAATCAGCACAGTTTGATACCAGGCCTGTTCTTCAGGATCCAAAACAACAACGAAAAACAGTCCTGTGGTATTAAAAGCAAATATATGAACTGTTTAAAGGTATGAATCTCTTCATCAGACCTTAAAGGAGTCCCACAAAGTAAGCCCTACAGATTACTAGCTAGCAATCTAAAACAAGGAAACATTAAATAACACATGAAAATTATTCACTTTGAATACGAGTCAACAGACATAAAGCCAAATTGAACTCACAAAATTTCAAGCACTAACATGATTAAATTATTAAGGGAGTGACCATTTTTTTAAATGAAAAAAGAAAACACATTTACTATCTATCAAGGATCAAGAATCTAGGATGACAATTTGAGTAGGACAAGTGAGAAAAACAAAAACAGGCAGTAAGTTTTTCTGAAAGCTTCAAGAGCTTCTTCTAGTGAGACTGCAGCCAGAATGAGTTTCCAAAAATGAAAAGCTGATTTACTTTCTCAATGTTTTCAGGATAAAATTGTGAAAATGCTGAGTATCCAAGTCTCCAGGCTACAGGACATGCCTGCTTATCACATTTTCCATGTCTCACAGCATATGCTACTTCCTAAAACCTCTCATTACCATTTTCTTTTCCTGGTAAACTTCCATTTATTTTTCAAGAGTCAGTTCCACTCCTATGGAACAAATACAAAAGAGATTTATACAAGCCACCATAGAGTAAATACTTAAAGAAAACTCTCAATTACAGATCTAAAGGCAAATCAAACTTCAGAAAAAAAATATGTGCTAAAATCTTAGTAAAGAAAAACAGGGGAACCAGCAGTTAGCGTAATGGCTATGTCACTGGACTCCCACGTAGTCGACCGCGGTTCGTGTCCCGGACCCGGTGGCTTAAAACTCACGCCGGGCGCGTGTGCGTGCGAGCCCAAGATCCCGAGAGGAGAATAGAGGAGAATGGAGGAGAAGGGATTGCGGCGTGACCATCCCCCCCGGGGGGTGATTTCTCGCTTTCTGTCTCTATGTCTCTCTCTGTCTGTCTGGCGAGCGTACGCGCCCTACAGTGAAAATCTCTCAAAAAAAAAAAAAAGAAATAAAAAAAAAAACAAAACCAGATGAGCTGGTCCTGTAGCAATGCAATGCTCATAAGTTTTATCTCACATAGTTACTGTGGTTTGAATCCCCAGTCCTG